AGTCATGTCACTAAGTAGATTAGACTTGATGGAACCTGCCAGTTATGTCCCAGCATATCTGTTCAACCCAGAATTAGCATCTTTGCCCCTCTCCCATCCAGGAAAGAGAGCCCCACACTGTGGAACAAAACAGATTTTATATTCTGGGCCCACTGAAGAGGACTAACCTCTTCAACTTCAGTGGAGGTCTAGAAGTTTGATGGGCTACCGGGGCTCCCGGTGGGCTGCCTGTCAGAGAAACCCAAGGAAGACACCCTGTTCAAAAGACCTCTATTATAAACTTGCCTACAGATTTTTCAAGTTGAGTAGTAAGCAGAATTCAGAGGCTCCTTCATCTCCCTGGCCCTAGAGGCCTGTGTGCCCATCAAAGAGGTTGTGAATGTCTACCGGAAGCTGGTCTTGGTATGTGATGTTTCTGGTGTGTGTGTGTGTGTGTGTGTGTGTGAATAAGTGGGTAGGGGGTGGGGGAGTGGAAGAAGTTCTCCACAAGCTCAAAAATATCTTTGAAGTCTCAGATTGTGTCTTTAAAACTCAGGCTTTCAATTCTTCCCTGTAATAGATCAGTCCTTATTTTAATACAAAAGTTCCCTCCCAAAACATTGAGTAAATCTATGCTCCACAGTGAGGCTCCATGACTATCTAAAAGCTTAGGGAACCCCAACTCAGACGCACAACTGGTACCCCAAGTGTACTTGTGCTGGGGATAGGCTCCCAAATCTGGCCATAAACTGGCCCCAAAACTGGCCATAACCAAAATCTCTGCAGTACTGTGACATGTTCATGATGGCCACGATGCCCACGTGATGACTGTGACGCCCATGGGCTATGACCCATGATGTGGGTTTACCAAAATGAGGGCAAGGAACACCCGGCCCACCCAGGGCAGAAAACCGCTTAAAGGTGTTCCTAAGCCACAAACAATAGCATGAGCGATCTGTGCCTTAAGCACGTGTTCCTGCTGCAGATAACTAGCCAGACCCATCCCTTTGTTTCAGGCCATCCCTTTGTTTCCCGTAAGAAATACTTTTAGTTAATCTATAATCTATAGAAACAATGTTTACCATTGGCTTGCTATCAATAAATATGTGGGTAAATCTCTGTTTGGGGCTCTCAGCTCTGAAGGCTGTGGGTCCCCTGTTTCCCACTCTACATGCTATTTTTCTGTGTGTGTGTCTTCAATTCCTCTAGCACTGCTGATCTCGACCGAGCTGGTCTCGGCAACTTGTCCCCCAAACAAGAAGCAGGGCTGCTGGAAAGAGCACTGTGCAAGGAGTGAGGCTGTGCCCTGTGTGCTCATGGCACCTGGGGAGACAAGGAGGCTCAGCACATGTCAGATGAGAAAATGAATGAATGAATGAATGAATGAACAAATGAACAGCTGGTGACTCCTAGTGAAATACCAGTTTCTGCGAGTCCTACTTGACCTGCAGCAGGTGAGCCATTTTGCTGACACTCATGGTACAAGCCAAACACGTACACTCAGGACAGACTTTCAGGACATGCCCTGAAGATACAAAAGGACAAACCTAGCAGGAATAATTGATCACTTGGGAAAAAGGAACCTGAACTTAGGAGACAAAGCAACTGACAAGAGGGGAATTCTATCTGGAAAACTATTAGACATGGGTGTTAAACATCCCCACTGTCTGTGGCAGGAGAATAAATCATGTTGCCAGCAGCAATTTGCAGGCAAGGGAAGGTTAAGGAGAATAGAACAGGAGAGCCAGAAAACACAGAGGAGCCTCTCAGGTAGGAAGGGGACCTCACACCACCTGGGCCAGGACCCTTGCAATCTGGAGAGGGACACACACCAGGTACCCTGAAGGCTGTATGATGACCTGATTCAAAACAAAATGATGAGAAGGCTTAAGAGAGGGCAAGAGGGGTCTCTCCTCTCAGAGTGCTCCGTGTGCCTGGGACGTGATAGGAGAGAACGTGTCCCCATTCAAATTCAAGTGTGTGACAGCTACATAATGGCATGCCAGTTTTTACCCGGATGTGCCATAATATTTGAATTTTTATGTGCTTCAAACATGAAGCATGTAGCATTTATGTATTTGTGTACTTTCAAAGTAACATAAGAAACAACCTATAACATTATGGGAAGGATTTGTAATCTGCCCTGATTCCTGAGCAAGGGCCTGTATGTATGTGGATTTCAGAGTCTAAAAAACTGGGACAACTTATATAAAATGTCTGGAATAGGCAAGTCCATCCACAGAGATGAAAAGTAGATTGGTGTTTACCTAGGGCTGAGCGGGAGGGATTGGGGGAAATGGGGAGTGACTGCAAATAGGTATGGGATTTCTTTAATGGAAATTTTCTAAACTTCATTGTGATGATGGTTGCACAACTCTGAATATATTAAAAACCACTGAGTAATACACATTAGATGGGCAAGTTATATGATATGTGAAATATATCTTAATAAAACTGTTAAACCCTAAATCAGTGTCCTACCTCTGTCACTGGATAGTTATATGCCCCTGAGAAAGTTACTGACTCTTACCTCAGTGTCCTCACCTGTAAAATGGGGATGAGATGATGGTACTACCCATCTTACATAAGTGACGGGGTTTCTCAGTGAGATCATATCTGTGAGAGGACCCAGCGCAATGTCCTGTACATGGCAGAAATGTGGTCAATGTCAGCTCTCTGTCCATTTGTCCCAACATAACAAATGAATGAACACATTTGAATAGTAGAGTTTAGATTGAGTTCCCCATCGAGGACCCTCAGAGAGCCTAGAAAATAATCGTAGGATTTTTCTGGCTATCTTTCGCCAGGAAGCCCAACTAAAGTTGCACATTTATTAGAGATCAGCCTGCCCCAAACTGGTGAAAAAATCAAGTTTCTTTGCTTTGGGCTGGAATCAGATTAATACAATGTGAATATTTGCTGACTGTAAGTTCAGTTTGGACAATGTATAAGTCTTTGGTCAATTAATCCATTATATACTTGGTAAATGCTGCTTATTTGAAAGACAAAAATCTTGCAAAATAAGGGGACCATGGAGTACACTCATGAAAGGGTTTTTCATGGTGACAGGGTAGAGAACCACCAAACCAGGTACCTCTGAGCTCTTTCCAGCTCTATTGTTTTGGTTGAGTTTTGGAAGATGGGTGTTTGCCACAGACAGGGAAATAGCAGCACGAGTGGCAGCTTGGAACGTGAGAGGCCCGGCATGTTTGGGGAAGGGAAGAGAGTTCCATGGCTCCTTCCTGGCTCCTTCTCAACTGCTAAGACCTGACTCTGGCTGCAGGATCCACGGCATTTTAAAAGCTACTCAAAGGTAATCCTGCTCCTTTTCCTGTCACTGAGCTTGCCTTTTGTTTGGTGACACTGCTGGGGTCAAAGTCATGGTTCTAGTTATTGTTATTCCAACACAAACGGAGGCTCAATGTGGCTTGTTTGGCCTCCTAAATCAACTCTTACAAAGCACTCTGAGGCTCCTAACATCTGCCAGGCTCAGCAGCTGAACCAATTGCTGGGCAGAAAGAAGAGCCAACTGGGACATTAGTGCCAGGTGAGTCTCCAGTTCTGCTTAGGGCACTCGTTGCCCCGCCGTGCACACAGCACAGTGGACATGAGCGCCTTCCTGGACTTGGGAGCTGCTGCCTTTGACTATGTGCCATCTGTCAGAAAAAGACTTCTGCCTACAGAAGTTTAAAGAAAGAAAAGGGCTTGCCCGGGAGCGTTGGAGAAGGCCCAACAGCTGTCTTCCGAGAGGCTTCCCAGGGTGACTACTCTTCATTTAATGACTTGACTGTGATTCATGGTCTGACCTTTGGTCTCAGGGTAGACACAAAGAGAGCAACCAACCAAAGTCAGGTGACTGAGGCATAAAGTCATTCTCCTCCTGAAGATGGATCTGGGAGGAAAGCCCACTGGCTGTGGAATGTTATTTTGTGGTCTTGGATCAGAACAGAGAGTGATTATGTAGGTGAAATGTGGCAATTATTAAGATTGCCTGGGTCGGCCGGGCATGGTGGCTCACGCCGGTAATCCCAGCACTTTGGAAGGATGAGGTGGGCAGGTAGAACACCTGAGGTCAAGAGTTTGAGACCAGCCTGACCAATATGGTGAAACCCCATCTCTACCAAAAATACAAAAAATTAGCCAGGCGTGGTGGCAGGTGCCTGTAGTTGCAGCTACGCAGGAGGCTAAGGCATGAGAATCATTTGAACCCAGGAGGTGGAGGTTACAGTGAGCCGAGATCACACCACGGCACTCTAGGCTGCATAACGGAGTGAGACTGTCTCAAAAACAAAAAAAAAAAAAAGAGAGATTGCTGTGTCAGCCATCTCCACAGCCGGGCCTGATGGTAGTAGGTTGGGAACCCTTAAGAGATGGTGGTTAACATTCTTCCACTCCACCAACAGCCAAGACAAAGTTCAGGTAGACATTCTGGTGGACATTGCCTATTTTTGTCTCAGGGTCTCTCCTTTTCCTAGTTTTCATGATGACCGTGTGTCTGTGATTGACAGCAACTGTCATTAAATGTATAAAAATATTCAATGGAGTTAGTAAAATCCCAGCCAGAGGCTTGGGGGCCAAGCTGTCTGTCTTAGATTTTGCTTCTATCTACTGGGATCTGGTTGGACTCTCATAAGATGATCTTATCTTCCCATTGTTTGAGGCTGTCTCATTGCAGTCTCTGAGTATTCAGTGTAGCAGACTAACTTTCACTGCCTACAGAAGGTCAAAATGCCCACAATGTGCCAAGTACTATGCTAAGTATTTGGCAAATATTAACTCATTTTATCCCCATACAACCCCAGGAAGTGTGATCTGTTATTATCCCCATTTACAAATGAGGAAACTGAGGCACCGAGAGGGTCAGTAACTTGCCAAAGAGCATGAAGCTAGTAAGTGGAGGAGGCAGTACCCAAACCCAGGTAGTCCAGTGCCAAGGCCAACACCCCCAACCAGTGTGTCTCAAGTCCTAATAACAATCACTGCTGCAAAGGTCTTCCCCAAGAAAAAGAAAATTACCTGGATTCCAGAGATAACAGATGAAGTTTATTGGAGATTCGATAATCTAATTGGGTCAAGGGAAAATGTTGAGTTGATCTTTCTGATTAAGTAGCTGCTGACCTAGAAAGAAGAGGGAGGTGTAGCTGAGCCCGTTGTCCTCCAGTGCCCTCCCCTCCCCTTCTGTCTGGTTTGACTTGCTGCGATTACAGTCACTCCTTTGACTTGCTGTCTTATTTATTCAGCGCACTTGAATTGAGTACTTTCTACATAACAGACACTAGGGACACCACAGGACATAGTTGCCACCTCTGAGGAGCTCCCAAATTTGGTAAGAAGTTACCGTTTGTTTTCACCGAGATTGTCTAGTCAATCCTTAGAACCACCCCATGAAGTAAACAAGATGAGAATAGATATACCCATATTTTATTTTATAATTATTATTATAATATATCCATTTTATGACAGGGCACACTGAGGCACCGAGGAGCTCACTGTTCTGCCCCACGTCTCCAACAATCACACTCCTTAGAATTCCATCTGAAGCACTGTTTTGAGTATTCTGTCTTCTTGCCTCCACACTTATGAAATACACCTACATGGCCAATCTGTTAAAAGTTTCCACTAGTCATCAATGAAATAAGAAAAAAAAAAAAAAGGATGATAGGAAAGTTTTTTCATTAAACTAATTTTTTTCTATTTAAATAACTATTTTTCTATTCTGAAATTATGTCCTTCCTTCTTTTTGGTATTAAAATGCTCCTTTATAAAATGGAAGTTTTTTTTTTCTTTTTACTGCACTTATACGGCAACACAAAATATTGGTGATTCTGTTGATTCCTGTTGAAACCTGTTTGCTGGTCTTTGAGTCACTGCCGTAGATGCACATGGTCCCTGAGAGGGACAGAAAGGCCATCCCATCATTCAGGGGCATAGATGAGCCACTCTTACTATTTGCAATACCCAATGTGTCTGAGACCATGGCCTTGACGGGGAAGACAGGGACTCTTTGAGGAGCCTTGGATTGAGAAAAACAAGGAGCAGTGACATGCTGTGATCCCTTCACTCTGATTTACACAAGACCCAGGACTCTCCATAGCCATGGCAACTAGCCCAAAATGACAAGGCTGATTAATTCCACAAGTGCATTATTCACGTGTCACCAAATATTGACTCTTATCAACCTCCTTCCCCCAGCCATCTGTCCTGGTGTGTCAAATCAAAATAAATCAACAAACAAAAAGTGGCAGGCAGACGCCACTCCAGGGATGCTGCAACCAATTACACAGTCGCCAGGGCTAGACTGAGTTCTAAGCGGCTCTTTCATTTCTCCATCTCCCTTCTTCCCCAGATGACCAGGAGTGCGCGCGCGCACACACACACACACACACACGTTTTAGATGGCAATGCTATGGCTATGTGAGAGGGAAAGGGTTGGGGTTGAGGGGGCTGCTGGGATGGAAAAGATTTAAAACTTCCTAGGAAGTGATAATGATAGGAGACCATTTATTGAGCTCTTATTAAGTACCAGGCATATAAACGTCATGCTAATGTTTAACCCTCACCACAACTTTGAGATATAGAAACTATTATTATTTCCCCTTTATGGATGAAAAACTAAAAATAATTTACATTAATTGACTTGCCCCAGGTCAAACATCTAGCAATTCATGGCCTGAATTCAAAGCCAATGCTTTGAATCCTTGCATGAGCCAACTCACCTGTCACTGTCACCTGGATGTGTCATTCGATCTCTCTGTGCCTCCATTTCTGCATCATGGTAATGATGCACCCAACTTACAGGGTTCTCGTGAGAGCTTAATGAGCTCATGCATGTCATGCATTCAGAATAATCCCCAGAACATAACAAGTGCTCAGTATGTGTTGGCTATTGTTACTGATAGCATTGTTATTTTTTATTACACAATATTGTCTCCCTTTGCTGAATGAAGGGAATGTGGAGGACACAGACTTTACAAGCAAAGAGAATATATTTGAGTGTATGAACATTCTTGGCAATCAAGTGCCAGAAGAACTACTTCTCTGTTACCAAGCAGGGAATAAGCTGTTTTCTCTACATCTGCCCACACCAGGTTGCACATTCTATACCCTGTAGATTGCTCAGCCTCTTGTTCTCCTCCCCACTTCCTCCTGTCTCTTCTCTTTTGACAGCTCTCCAGAGAGGCCTCTCACCCCACCTTCCATAGCTTTGTTTCCACTGAGTCAAAGGCTGTTAGATCATCTGTTTGTCCCCTGAATGGTCCTTAGAATGAACAGCCACATGGATGGCTTGGTGGTGGTGGTTCCAGCTCCCAAGGAAACAATTTCCAGCACTTTCCCCTCTGCAGCTTCCCACCAAGCTAGGAGGAAACATAGCAGTGATTTGACTGCAGCATCCCTGACAGCTGCTGCCCATCTCCACGTGGGGCTTCTGGTGCCCTCCAACAACTGGAAACTTGGTCTTAAATTTTTTAACTTGGAAAATACAAACAACGACCACCGTGAATGTGAGTTATTACTGTGATTTCTCTTTTCACTAAAGTCCATCCAATCACCAGTTTGAGCCTGTCACAAATCTGCTTCTCTCCCACACAACTTTCCCTGGCCACTGACTGCATTTTCAAAAGTAGCCGAAGGCCAGAGAACAGCCGTGCTGGTTCCCTCAAGAACAAATTGCAAATGGTGCATCATTGGCATGTGCTCCTGGCTTCTTCAAAGGATGCATTGAAATGTGCCAAATGGCAAAGAAGAATCACAGAATCCAGGTGTCTCCTAGTCACTAAGATATAACTGACATGAAACAAAAAGTGTAAATTTAAAAAATGAAAGGAGCATCAGTCTGTAACTCCTTGTGCTGGATTGTTCTAGAGCCAACTTGTTTCCACTGGGCACTACATTTCCCAGGGCGTTCCGGATTTCAGCTGATCCAATGTGAATTTGTGTAGGATTTGGGAGGGGAAGTGAAGCTTTTCCCTCTGTTACTGTTACTGTTGGTGGTTACTGTTGGTTTGGAGAGGTGAGATCCACGTGGAGATGCCCATGAGTTCCAGCTGGTCACTTTTCTCCACTGCACATGCAGCTCTTCTTCCCGGATCCTGAGCCTGCTGACCGGCAGCGATGGCAAGCCCAGCACTGATGCCTTGCTGTGAATTCTGACCCAGCAGGCTTCCATGGACTTCCCTGCCTGCCTCCTTTGCAGTCCTGCTCCACTAGCTAGAGGAGCCTGGCTCCCCATCTTCCCTGAAAGCGCAGATTCCTCTCCTGCTTCAGTGCTTGTTCATGACATTTCTATGACCCTCTAACTCCTCTTTTTAAACCCTTATTTTCCCAACACCTCCCACCATCATGGACAGTCTAATTCATAGAATATGTTCCTTTTACTACGAAGCTCATAGAGGCTCTTACTTCCTGGCTGGACCCTGACTGATGCTTGGCCAGATCAAGAGGTCAGAGTGTGAAGCAAAGAGAGACTTCTCAAGAGATGTCCATGGAGGGAGATACACTGAGCTATGTGCCCCCATCTCCTCCTTTACTTCCCATCTCATGATGGGCCACCATGGGATCTCCCAGGGAGCTTTGCTACGTGCTCTCTGCGGCTGAGATATCAGGAGCTGCCATCTAACTTATGCCTCAGAAAGCAGCAGCAGAAAATCAAGGTGGCTACACTGCGTTCCACTCACTCCCAGAGTTTGGGGACGGTGAGCAAGGGCTGCCTGGGAAGGTCAGCAAGGACAACTGAAAGGGGCAGAGCCACTAAGGAGCAAAAAGCCAGAGGTGAGCTCAGGCCTGCTGCTACCTCATTCCAGATTTCCCCAGGATTCATCAACTCAAAAATAAACATAAGGACAAGAAGAATGAAACGCAGGACTAGAACTTACATCAGCAAGTGCAGGGTCAAAAAGGAAGGCCTTGGTGAAGACACGGAGGCCCAGGTGCTTGGAAGTATGTTCAGCCTCTAGGTTTCTTTTGACCTTAGTAGGGGGAAGCAGTGACCAGCAGTCACTTGGGATGGAGGTACACCTACCAGGACAAGGGATCTGCAGGAGAGCCCAACAAGGAGAACCTTGGAGGGGCCCAAGAAAGCAGCTCTTGACAAAACAGCATTCGATATCTCTTAACCCAGAGGGCATGAGGCCAACTCCTGACACTGCCAGCATCTTGTTGAGCACAGCTTTCTCCCTCCTCTCTGACCCTGGAACGAGAGGTGGCAGTAAAAAAGGTGGCAAAGATTTGCTATAAAGTTAAGTTCCAGATTTTGGTTAATCTCTTAGAATGGACACGTTGAACTGAGGCTGTGTTTTGTGATAAAGTGACCACGCGGAGTGTGAACTGGCCAAGTGGGGGCCTGCTGGAGTTCTGTACCCAGGGGTGGGAAGAGCACTCCCACTGAAAAGACTCTAAAGTGGGAAAGGAAGCTGTGGTTGCTCGTGTGCAGAGGCCAGGCATTGGGCATGCCAGTCACAAACATCATGGCAGGGAGACTAGGCCTGCCGGCCTCACCTTGCATTTGCAGACCCCCAGGTTCCTCTAGTAGAGCCTCAGGCTCAGGAGGGGACACAGAGAAGGCTAAGGATGTAGGATTTTGAGGGCTTTCTCCGCTTTAAGCAGAGCTTTCACTGCTTTTTATGTACAAGTTTCAAATAAGCTTCCATTTGAAGGGGATAGAATTCCATTACTTTAAAAAGCTCTTGCAGCCTGCTTTCTGTCTAACCCCATTGAACCAATTACAGGGGGAAGGTGCTAGACAGGAAGCGATCTGCAGATATGGAGGCAGAACTAGAGGCGCAGCTCTGACTTAAAACCCTGGGCCCTCCCCTGCCACCCCCGACCCCATGGTCCAACCTACTTTGACGTCTACTACTTGATTTCAGATTTCTCCAGGATTTGTCAACTCAAAAATAAATGTAAGGACAAGGATAATGAAACACAGGACTAGAACTTACATCAACAAGTGCAGAGTCAAAAAGGAAGGCCTTGGTGAAGAAATGGAGGCCCAGCTACTGGGAGCATGTTCAGCCTCTAGGTCTCTTTTGACCTCAGTTGTCCCCTGTCACCTGCGATGCTTGTGGAAAAGCAGATTCCCAGTCCCCATGCCATCCTGGGGTACGACCCAGAATCTGGAT